GATCCTGTCTCAAAAATAAAAAACTTTGATGAGTACATAATATACTTACAGTTCAACAATTTGCTTTTTTTTCCTCTTAACTGTATCATCTTGGGGATTTTTCTATGATCTACCCAAGATGTACTTTCATCTCTCTCTCTCTCTTTTTTAACAAGACACATAGCTTAAAAAATAGTATAGCTGTATCCTTGTTTGCTTTGTTCCTTGTTGATGGATACTTATTTTCCATCTTTCTATCAGGATTTTGTAACAATAACAAATATGCATTTAAGAACACAGCTTATTTTCTTTGTATGGTGCTGGGGATCAAACCTAGGGCTTCTGCCACTGAGCTACATCCCCAGCTTTCACTTAAAATTTTGATAGATAATATTACTTATCCTTAAATACCTTTACAATTTGTATTACTATTTACAGTGCATGAGACCACTTACATATTTCTGATTATTAGTAATGTTGAGCACCTCTTATCATAGTTCATGGCCTTTTGGATTTCTTGTATTGTGAATTGCCAACTAGTATCTTTTCACTTGGAATGCTGGATTGTTGGTTTTTTTTCTTTACTACTACCTACTTGTCCAAGCCCCATCCTCCTCCTCCATAAAGACTTCTCCATTTTCTCTAAGCAGCCAGCTGTGCCCTCCTCTGCTGTCCCAAAACACTGTTTATGCAGAATCCAGGTCTTCGTTTATCCATTATCCCATATTGAATTCACTTATTCAACAAGTGTTCACTTTGAGCTCACTCTTGTGCCTGGGCTTAGGCTAGGTGCTGGGTGGAAATATAGGAGATCATTACAGGCTCCATGATGAAGAAGTTTAGTTTTGAAATGTGCCTTAGGGCATAGAAAAAATACAAGTTTTGGATTCACACAAGACTTGATTTGGATCCCAGCCCCACAAGGTACTTAGCCTCTCCAAGTCTCAATTTCCAGAGTAGGGAAATGAGGTTAATATCTTTCTCACAGAGTCATTTTCAGACAGTATATCTGAAGAGGCTAGTGAGAGCCTGTTAAACAGTGGTCAGCTGTCAGCAAATAAATAGTAAGTGAGAGGCAACTGTAAGGGGTCAAAATGATTAGTTTCAGGACCTGTTAACATACTGTTAACATACACTTAATACTGAAGGTAGCTTTGCTCTTTTTCTACTGCAGTTTGAGGTCAACCCGAAGATAAGTATGGGTAATATGCTGCACTCATCCACATCCTTCTACAGTCTGTCTCCTACCTTACCTGCACTCTGCAGCAGATTTCTGTTGTGTCCTGGCCCCTTATCCTAATTTAGTTGGTCACTATTGATGCAGAACTGCCATGGCCACTGCTTTGGGGTAAAACAGATGGCTCCTTCCTCGAATAAATGGTACCTTTAGAATATTCTCTATAAGGGAGGTTTCAAGGGTACTTATACATGCTTGCTACTCATGATTTCAAGAAGTGGGGATCAGAAAAAGCTTGAAGTGGAAAGGAGCCTGGTGTGTGTGTGTGTGTGTTTGTGTGTGTCTGTGTGTGTTCATGTGTAAATGCACATGTATATGTGTAGTTGGGGCACGTCTCCAATTAATCAGACCTGGATTACAGACACAGCTTGCCTCTTCTAGATATCTCTTAGCTAGTTTCTTCCTTCCTGACTTCAGTCACTGGAATGAACCTTGACCACATGATTTCTAAAGTTTCTAAATGGAAAATTACAATGTAAAGACATGGGATATGTACTATCCTTAATCAGAAATCACTGCATTTTGAACTTCAACTCTTTACACCCACCCTAACATCCTGCAGTACTACACTGCATTCTAGTTATTTGGGATCATGATATGGTTTCCCATTGAACTGATAGTTGGACCCAATTGTGTTTCTGGCTTCGTGAAGTGGAACTGAGGGCTCTATTACCTGCTGGGCACTGTATCAGGCAGTAAACATACAAATATCTAATCAGAACTTCTGTCTTCAGGGAATTCCACAGTCTAGCTAGAACACAACTGTAGAACCAATATAATTACCTTCATGGATGGCAAAAGGGTTTGCCATTTGTCAAAACTATAGGGAGTCCTGGGGAAGGAATGCCTATACTGTCTGGCTGACTGGAAGGTTTCCCTTAAATTCGGATTTCAGCAGAGTGGGGTAAATGGAAGTACCTCACAAGGACAGAAGATATTTTATAGGCAATGGGAGTGTTATCTATAAAGACATAGACGTGGCATCTATAAAGACACCAGTGTGGAAGAGCATGGCATGCTGGCAACCGCTCAGGTGTCAGTGAACAGATATTATGTCTACTAATGAACAGATAAACGTCTATCAGTGAAAAGATATATGTCAGCTCATGAAGAGCCATTTATACCACCCAAAGGACTGTATGTTTTAAAACATCTTGAAGGAAATGACTGAAGCATTTTGAGGTAGGAAAGCAAAACATTTTTGTTGAACATATAATAGTGAGAAGATAGGGCAGAGTACTAAATTATTTCCTAAACTTATGGCCTTCAGCAATTTACTTAACCTGTTTCCTTTTCTGTGTGTGTGAGGTGATAATTTAAAAAACAAAACAAACAAACAAAACAACCCAGTTGGGAGTGATGGCACACACCTGTAATCTCAGCACACAGGAGGATGCAGCAGGAGGACTGTGGTAAGTTTGAGGCTAGCCTGGACTACATAGTGAGTAAAAGACCAGCCTGAACTACATAGAAAGACCCTGCCTCAAAAAAACAAAATGAAATAAATGAAAATTAAAAAAGGAACCTTAAAGTGTTGAAATTTGAGATTGTATTATACCACACCAAAAAGGCTTAGCCTGTTACTTGCCAAAAAATTAACTAAAGAATACTTAACATTTATTTATACATTACTGGAACAAACTGTCACCAGATGGAGTCTCATGAGATCCCCCCAAAGAGGATATGGACACATCATCTGGCCCCATGTAGTAGGATTTTGACTCATCATTGCAGAAAGAGAACCTTAGGTTGCATCAGTGAGAAACATAGGCAGATTTATTAGGCAGAGTTAGGAAGTAAGAGAAAATAAGGAATAGACTTTAGCTCAAGAAAGGAAGGGGTCACTGCTCTATATGATTAGACTGGCCCATACAAAATGAGATCAGCACCCTACCTAATGGGATGTTTGAACCTAAGGCCTTCACACTGAGCTATATTCTCAGCTCCTTTTTATATTCAAGACAGGGTCTCACTAAATTGCTCAGGTTGGGCTCAAACTTGGAATCTTTCTGCCTCAGCTTCTCAGAGAGCCAGGAAACCTTTATAGGTTAGGCAGAGTAGGTTAGTGGCTGTTTAACCATTATCTCATATCTGGAAGAAGACATTGCTCTGGGGTTCCTTAAACTCTGGGAGAAGTCATTATTTGGTTGAGGGTAGACGTCTTTATTGCTCAAGGGGGCAAGTCTGTGTCCATGACAGGATTATTTCAGCTTGAGGCAATCTTGCGAAAGGCTCTGCTAAAAAGTGCAGTGACTGAAAAGTGCATCAGTAGAACATCTCTTAAATTTATCTTGGTGTCTTCAGTCATTAAGTGAGATGATACAGGTTAATGTAAATTTAGAACTAAATTTTTGTACTGCCAGTTTTTAAACAGACCTTCCCTAAATAATTCACATGAGTATATGGAGAGCTGATCAGGCACTTAACTTAACATTTTAATAAAGAAGACTTCCACAAACAAAGGCTAAGTTTTGTTCTGCTTTTAGTTGCCTACTGGGCATCTGTAGCCCAAAGGAAGTCACTGTTTTTTAGCAAAACCCTTTTGAAGTACCTGACTGCCTTAGAAGAAAACACAAATTATGCTCTTAATGAACACCCAACAGGTTAAGGGCCTAGAAGTTTGTACTCTTTCCCTATAGAGGGCTGTATGTCAAAACAGTCCAGAAATCTGTGACTCATTTCTATGTTTGTATCTTTATTTGTATAATGGGTTTTCCAATTTTGCCTTTTCACAGTAATTTGACTTTTTCTTTTCTAGCACTTCCCATGTTGATCACATTTTAAAATAATTTTCCAAATTTAGACTCTAATCAAACTATACTATCTTTCCAGCTGAACACTAAGCTCTGTGAGATTACAGACCTTTATGATTTTATTACTCCTCCGCATTTTGTCATACAACTTGGCTTTTAACATGTTCAGTAAATGTTGAAAAAAAGAAAAAATAAAGTCAAGTTTATCTTTTAGGACTTCAACCAATTAGTAGAATATTATTTGTAAAATCACACAGATCGGTTTCCTAAGATTAAGTATTTTTAAGAGTGTGAGAAGGGGAACCAAAGCCAGAGGATTCCAACACAATCTAGAAGCTTTTGGAAGCTTTCCAAGAATCAGTAGTTACTCCAGTAATTCCTGTGCAACTCTTCAATGTTCACAAAGGGTTAATCTACTGTCTGGTATTCATGGAAAGGCGGAAGCCCCTTGTAAACTAAGTTCAACCCCAACCTACAAGTTGGAAGGGACTACCAAGATCACCCACAGCAAGGGTGAAAACCTTAGACGCTAGGCGCTCTCAACAGGGCCGTTTCCTAGGCTGGAGTTTCTCGCGTCCTCTATCTAAGTCACCCTCCATAAAAGTCCTCGTCTCCACCAAGCGCGCACGCGGCACCGGGTGGTGTCCCCGGAGGGCAAGGGACAAGGAAGAGAGGGCGTCCTGAAATCCGCCCAGCGAGTCATGGGAGTTGAAGTTTTCTGGCAGTTTTTCACTCACGAGCTCCCCTTGTTTTTGCCCGTATACAGCATCTCTCTCGTTCAATGGATTCGAACAAAATTTACACCATCGTAGAGTCAGCCGAGGTTTTTTTCAAAAGAATGTGTGAAAGGGGAAGAGCAAAGAAAAGCAAGCAAAGCAAAAGCTTATCTGTGGTTGAAGAAAACAAACAAACAACAAAAAAACCCCAAACCGGTTAACAATTGCTACGCAGGCGCACAGAGGGCCCGAAAGGTGGGCGGAGACGGAAGGTGGACTGCGGAGAGCTGTGTTTTCCCGGAAGTGCCTTCCTCTTCCCGGTTACGCGCGGACGCGGCTTTCTCACCTCATTCGTCCTCGCCCCTCCCCGTCCCTCTCCGCGTTTTGGTTCCTGGTTGGTGCTTCCTGGTCGCAGCGGCGGCAGTGAGTATGTGTGTGACGGGCCCCGAGCCTCCCACAGCCGGGAGACCCCTGCCCGCCCTCCGTCTTGCCCGCCGGGCTGTGGAAGTAGCGCTAGCCCCGTCGCCGGGCTCCGCGTCCCCAGCCCCACCTCGGTCGTGGCTATGCGCTGCTCTGGCCGCTCTGCAGCGCGCTGCCCCACGCGGCTCGCCTGTCAGGCTGGGGTGTTCGCGTCTTTCTGTCCCTCCACGGCCTGAGGCCGTCATTCAAGAAGGGCTGAGCGTTGATAGCCCCTGACGGGGTGGCTTTTTTGTCCATTTTACCCACTACACCCCTCCCCAAGAGTTCCGTTTTAGGAAAGCAGGTCGGCCAATTAAACGTCGAGGTTCCGCTGCGCGGAGCAGGAGTCCGGCCTGTGAGGACCTGATAGTCCTGGGCTAACTCCAGTCTCTCCTGTTCGAAGTAGCAGCTGCAGCAGTGGAACCAGAACAGTTTCAGTAGCTACGTCCCTTCCCTTATTAAAAGGAGACTTCGATTTTATTCACTGAGATTTCTTTTACCTCTCAGGTCCTTTAGCTGATTGGCGCCTTAAACTTTACGGAGGTGCTTACGGTATTTGGAAAAAAGTGTGGCCAGGAGTCAACAAACATAGGTTCTAACCAAATCTCCACCACTGAGTAGCTGGTGACTCTACGTATCTCTTCTTTAGGCTGAATTTATGATTATTTCAGGTTTCAGGATTGAGTCATTTAGGGCTTTTTTTTTTTTTTTTTTGCTCATTGGATACACTTTCTATTAGCCCTGTTTCTCCAAGTATAACAAGAGAGTTAATTCGATGTCTTTTTCAGGTTTCTTCTGAACTTTCGATTACAAAGACTTTAAGAGTACTGTGTATGTTTAAGACAATATTAAGGCTTTGGGGACAGTTTAATATTGCTGTCAAGAGAATCTGAGGGCGTTGAACTGAGGAGGAATTCAACGTGAGGGTTGATAGTTTGCAGAGGTAAGAGTACATAAAAAAGAGGAGTGCTGAGGGAATGGTGAAGAAAGTGTTTACAGATAGGGTTAGTTCCTCTAAAAAGCATTTACAGTATCCCAAGGACAGCTGGGAATTACCTCAGTAAATTTAAAATAATTTTCTTACCTCAGGATTCTGTCTTCCTCATTTTTGTGGCCACCGTTCCACACATTTGGATTCTCTATCAGAGTTATATTTGTTTTGAAATGACAGTCACATATGGTGAAGAAAGTGTTTACAGATAGGGTTAGTTCCTCTAAAAAGCATTTACAGTATCCCAAGGACAGCTGGGAATTACCTCAGTAAATTTAAAATAATTTTCTTACCTCAGGATTCTGTCTTCCTCATTTTTGTGGCCACCGTTCCACACATTTGGATTCTCTATCAGAGTTATATTTGTTTTGAAATGACAGTCACATTTGAAGAATGGACAGTAATTTTTATATAGTAGCTGTAGCTCTGTGATAGAGTGCTAGCCTGGCATGCCCACTGCATTGGGTCTATCCCTAGCACTGCAAAAAAAAAAAGCTGTGGGTTTTATTTAAATCTGCCTGAAGTGAAGTGGATGCCTATAGTATCATTAAGAGTGAACATCTAAGCTATAAATTCTTTGAAAGGAAATAAGAGCAAAATATTTGGAATGATCCAATTGGTGGATTATTAAAGCAGAAGCATTGCTTTAAATATTGCATAAGTAAATTCCAACAGCATAAACAAACCTTAAGTTGTCCAATTTTTAAAAATTTAGTGAATGAATACTGCTATCCCTTTCAATGGCAAGAACCTTTGTAGTTATTTTCTATAGCTGTTTTGTGTTTGGTGAGCCATTATAATTCTTTAGATAAGTTTCATTCTTAGGTGATATTTTATATTCTTATTTAGGAACCATTTTTTTTCAGTTAGAATTGACAAAATCTCTGAACACCAACTTGGGGGGTTCTTGGATAGTAAACTGACAAATTTAAATATGTGCTTTTCTTCTAATTAAAATGCCTTTTTCATTATTTTTATACGCCAGTGAAAAGTACAATGGATATGTGTGAAGAAAATGTATTTGGTAGAGCCAATGAACATATAACAATATCTGAAATTATTTTAAAAATTGTATTTTAAAATCTTAGTAAAAAAATAAAAGAAAAACAAAAACTAAAATTTTAATGAAGCTTGGCTGAGAATCAGGAAAATGTAAATCATTTAACTTTTTTTTTTGTTGTTCCGGGGGTTGAACTCAGGACCTCACACCAGGCAGGTGCTGTGCCACTGAGCTCAATCCCCAGCCCTCTACTTGTGTTCTTAACCACCTACGTAACCTTGGATAAGCCTTGTTATCTCTTTGGACCTCAGTTCCTTATTTGTCCATTAAGGAGGCTATGTGTAAAAATCTAGAAGGCACTTTGTGGATTTAAAAGTTTGGGACTTTCATGAGGAATTTAAGTTAAATATACTTGGGAATCCTGTACAGTGATCAAAAAGCTGAGAAAGACTTCTGAGTCAAGGGATATATATCTATAAATCTTTCTATCTATGCTTTATATTCATTTCCCAATGTACTTAAAAAATGCATTTGAATGTAATTAAAGTAGTAACATAAATGAAATCAGCCTGAGGCAAACCTTAACCCTGGCATATATAAACTACATAAATAGATGTTTTTCCTGAGCACAATTTTCAAGTACAGAAGTACAAAATCCTCTTAAAGGCCATAGGGGCTAAATTGTTAAATTCATTTTTCTACATTTCAGGGAAAGAGATAAGTCCTTAGACCCAAGGAAGTCAGTTTTTATTATGGTTCTGTAGTTTATTTTTGGCATACATTCACAGGTGTGCCTATGGCTCTGTTCTTAATCCCTTTCCTTTGGGATGGCTCCAAGAGTAGTACAAATGTGTAACTCTGTAATTTAGCTCTTTAATTTTTTTGTGTGCTGCACTGGAATTATGTTTTATCTTAAGTCCACACTGGATCCTTCAGGATGGATCCAGTGAGGATTTTGAAGGAAGTATAATTCCTTTGACTTCTTTTAGAATTAATTTACCTATTAAATAAAAAGGAAAGAATTCATCTTTCATTTGAATTCCTCTGAGGCTAACATTTCAATATAAACTGATTAATGCCATGAGCATTATGATTCAGACAGCCACAGTCAACTTGTATGACAATAACAGTATAGCAAACTGCAAGTTCAACAAGGAGGCAGGTATATTGGATTGGGCCTTTAGAAGAAAAAAAGTATTAAGAGTTGCTTTCTTCATTTCTGGAGAGCCAAAAAACTGCAGCTTAAATGTAGTGCATTTTGGGCTCTTTTTTATTTGATTATTGAGTTATCTGGTTTTATTACCAAAACTACCATCACAATCACTGTATTCTGACATTGGGGTAGAGAATTGGGAAACAAGAAAATGACTGTTCTTTCCTGTCTATATAGCTAAAAGTGAAAGACTAAATTGACATTGTGAACTGTTTTCTAGGGTATCCTTGGTAGTTGAACAAACATGACTTGTTTTTCCAGAACTGTAATTTTGATCAATATTCTGTGGATACCTAATTGAAACTCTTGACTTTCAAAAGCAGAATTTTCAAGTGTAGATTTTTGGTTGATATTAGAATTTCTTCTTTGGAATAGTTGAAGACAACTGTTATTATTTGATCATAATTTGTATATTATAATAAGCTATTAGACTTATCAGGCCTGAGGAACAAATACCTGATGATATAATTAATTTATTCATTGATTAATTCAACACATGTATATAGTAGTCTCCCTAAACATTACCTTTGACTTTGGTAGCTATTGTGTAACAAAATGCATATTGTTCCTGCCCTTCTGAGGTTTGTAATGTGTTTTTGGTACATTTACATTGAATAAGTAATTAGAAATGTGATGAGTGTTTTGAAATATAAAGTGCTGTGGAGCCTATAAAAAGGGCACGTAATTTAGTCTGGTGGGAAGTAGTGTTAAAGTCAAGTTGAAGGATGAACAGGATTTAATTGTGCCTGATAGGAAAGTGAAGTGTTTTTCTTCATGCATGTATTTCCAAAGTTGGAAGTTTTACCTTGATGTTAGGTTTTAGTAACTTTGTTTTTTATATATATTTTAATAACTAATATAGAAATAGCTTTATCAGAGATATTCCTTTGGCCAAGGATTAGACAGTTGTGAAATAAATTTTTTTTTCATGCCAGGGATCAAACCCAAGGCCTTGCACATGCTAGGCTTGTACTCTGCTACTGAACTGCACACCTTCCCCTTGAGATTCATTTTAAATTGAGAATTAACATCTGCATTGAAAGAGAAATATAATGGTGGCTTCTTGTGGATTTTAGTCAGAGTTGAAGTAATATTCCTTTATGAGGATGTATTCATGAAAAGAGAAGCAGAATCAAGGAAGAGATGAGGAATAAATGGAATAGCAAAAGATACTTCAAATCTTTTTGTAGTTTTAACATTTTGGAGAACAAATGTTCAGTGTCAAGCAGTAGATCTCAACTGTTTTTCTTTTCTACTATATCTGTGAATTTTCCATTAACAACTATAGCTCAAGTTATTGATAGTAATTCTCATCTGAGAGGATGGATGTTATTACAGCAGTCATAACAGGATTTAGAGATCCATGGAAAAAAGACTCTTAAGAGAAAAAAAATGTATTTTAATGTGTTAGAGAAAATTAATGACCTTTACATAGAAGTTGGCTCTGTGGGGTGAAATGCAATAACCAGAAAAGATCTGAGCATTTAAAATATATTATTTGACTTTCTCTTTTACAGAATTGAGGTTCCTGACTTTCCATGATGTTTGGTGGCTATGAGACTATAGAAGCATATGAAGATGATCTTTATCGTGAAGAATCATCTAGTGAACTAAGTGTTGATAGTGAGGTGGAATTTCAGCTCTACAGCCAAGTTCATTATGCCCAAGATCTTGGTAATGCTACCATGGAGGAAGGACATGAAGAAAAGAACTCTGGGAATTCTGAATTGAGTACTAAACCACATGAGAACTTAATTGTCCTTTCAGATAGTGAGGTCATCCAACTGTCAGATGGGTCAGATGTCATCACTTTGTCTGATGAAGATAGTATTTATAGATGTAAAAGAAAGAATATTAGAGTCCAAGCACAAAAAAAGACAAGAGCACCTCCTGCTTCTCTTTATTCTGATGAGTTGGCTGATAAAAAATGTGAAAGGAAAATTGAGAAGCCTAAACCTGAAGAAAGATCGGATGTGATCCAAGAGATCATGATTATAGAGGTCAGTTCAAGTGAAGAGGAAGAAAGCATCATTTCTGAAAGTGAAAATGTGGAAAGCTGGATGCTACTGGGGTGTGAAGTAGATGAGAAAGATGATGATATCCTTCTCAACCTTGTGGGATGTGAAAACTCTGTTACTGAAGGTTAGTATCACATGGGCCATTTTGAAAAGTAAAATCATCTTTAATAAGGACTGCTTTTCCTAGATAAAAGAGCGGTAGGGTCTACTCCATTTAATTCTTCACTTTTTGATCTTGTATCTCATCAAACTCTCTTACAAGAGACTACTTTGATGGTGGTCTCTCTGAACATCAGAGAGAATATATAGAGAACCAAAGACACTCTGCTTCTCCTATAAGCAAATTCTTAGCTACTTCTTCCTATTTGGCTAGAGCCAGTTCTGGACCCAAAATCTTAATTTCATTCTCTTTCTGCTTGATACCACAGGTGAGTACTTTATCTCCATCAATCTCTGACATTGTTCTTGTACTCAAGTTTGGTGAATTCTGTTGAGACTGTCTCTTCCTAAATATTTTACTTTCCCAGGAGTTAGCCATATGACAAGCATGGGAAATGCCCACTACACAGAAACAGTGGAATTGATATTAGGATTTTAGAGGCTAAACTAATTAGCCAGTAAGATGGGAAATTATGAAAAGCTGAAAGTCTAAAGTAGGTTGTAGGAGACAATGCCAATTCCATTAGTAACATCATTGAGGATTAAAATTTTGGTGTTAGCTTTGTTTCCTCTCTCCCATGTAGGTATTCAATTTTAAAAAGTCATTCCTTTAAAAAGTCCATTCCTTTTATTTTCCACACTATGTGTAATGCTAAATCTCTTGCAGTAGTTTCCTATACGCTAGTAGTCTTGAGATGCCCCATTACTCATGGTACTTTACTGCTGAATTAAAACTTTTAGTGCTACCCTGCTCTTCATAGAAGAAATAATGACACTGAATGTAGACCTAGCTCAGATCCCCAGGGTGTAACCACCTTTTCTTAAGGATTCAGACAGGAAGTTATTTAGGCTTCCAGGGCATAGGATCTCTTAGCTTATTCACTAAGGCCTTTGTGAGAAAGCAGCCTTAGACAATACCTAAAGAAATTCGGGTGGCTTTTCCAGTAAGATCTTGTTTACAAAAACTGGTGGCTAGCATAGGCTGTAGTTTACTGACCTTACAATTTGATAGCAAAAAGAAGAAAAGAGAATAGTTCTTAACAAAATCAAGTAGAGTCAGGATAAGGAGATATTTCCAAATGAAGCTTAGTAGTTACAAGGTATTTTTGGCAAAAGATAGATTTCATTTAAGAGGAGGCATGTGGAGGAGGCTTATTAATTAAAATTATATTATGTAAGTATTGGGTCATTGAAAGGAAAGACAGTCTTAGAGGAGCTAACCTTAAAAACCCCTAAAGAAGTGACTGGCATGAAAACATGGGAAGACACTTAACTTTAGACTGGAGAGTTGGAAAAGACTTGGAGGCCAGGGTGTAAGAGTTGAATTTTGAAGAAGGCTAGTGGTGAGGTTGGAGTGGATAGTTTTAGGTGATAAGAATACCATGTGCAAAAACAGCAGTATGGAAATAATGACTTTTGGGATGTGCAGGTATTTTAGTCTGATTGGTGAGGTGATAGTTGGGAGGTGAGGGATTATAAGTGCAATAAGAGCAGTAGGGTCTAGCTCATAAAGGGCATCTACGTCCATCTCAAAGAACTATCTTGAAAATCCTGGAGCCATTGAAGGATTTCAAGCAGACAAGTAACTTGCTGACATTTCTGTTTTAGAAAGGATTCTAGTGACTGTGTGAGGTTGAATTGTAGAGTTAGCAGTTTTTAGGATGGGATGAGTGGATAGGCTTTGTAGTAATCTAGACTAAGCTAGGTAGTTATAGGAATATGGTATAATACAGCAAGGAGGAAATGGATTTAAGAGCTTTAGAAATATGAACATAATTTATTTTTGGGTAAGGGAGATAAAAGGAGTTAATGACTTCAAAGTTACAAACTTAGGGAACATAGAAGAACAAGTTAACTGGGACCTGACTCATGATAGAAAAAGGGTTTCTCAGGGAAAAGTGAAATTGATAGGAAGGTAAGATAGAATAAGAGGCAACTGAGCCATATGGAAATATAGATCTAGAAGAAAGAAGTGGTAAGTTTAGTAAGGTATCTCAGGATTAAAGAAAAGAAGGTTGGTAGTCAGGTATCTAATTAAACTCTGAGGAAACAATACGTTATGTTATATTGTAAAAAGATAAACATGTCTATTCTTGAACTTTTTGGGGTTATTGTATATATTAAAGTGGAACATAACAAAATTTAAGGTGTTCAATAGCATTTAGTACATACACAGTGTTGTGTTACTATCATCTTTGTCTAATTCAGAAACTTAGTCCACTGTCTAAAGGAGATCCAGAACCCACTAAGCAGTCATTCCCCATTTCCTCCTTTCTCCAGTTTCTGGCAAACACTAATCTGCTTTTGATATCTGAATTAATCTATTTTCAATGTTTCGTGTAAACAGAACCACCTAAAATGTGGCCTTTGTGTTTGGCTTCTTTCACTTAGCATAATGTTTTAGAAGTTTATTTACGTTGTAATGTGTGTCTGTACTTCATCACCTTTAAAGGCTGAATAATAGTCCACTGTATGAATTTACTGTGTTTTGTTTATTCATTCATCTGGTATGTATGTTTAGATTGTTCCCACGTTTTAGCTATTGTGAATAGTACTGCTGTGAACATTTGTATGCAAGTGTTTATTTAAACACTTGCTTTCAATTCTTTGAGGTATATACCTGGTAATGGAGTTACTGGTAATTTTGTTTAACTTTTTGAGGAATGCCAGAACTGTTTCCCATTTGTCTATTTCCCATTTTACATCCTGCCAGTAATGTACAATGATTGCACTTAACTGCGTGGGTTTTTTATGGTGACTTGTCATGTTGTAGTTTTGTTTGGTTTGCTAGTAGACATGTTATTATTTTTAAAAATATTTAAAATAATTGTGATACATAGTAATTACATTCATGTTGAGGAATTAGTATATATACCTGTTATATCTTGACAACCCTCCCATCTGTGTGCGCATACAACTTGTTATTTTCTTATATGTTGTCTTGCATTTTTCTATCATGGGCTTTTTTTGCAATGAATTTTATTTATATATTTTCCATGAATTTTTTTAAATGCACAATTCATCCTTACAGGTATGTGTTCTTTTCAAATTTAGTGTGTATAAAACATTAAATCATTGGTAAAAGATGTAAATGATTTCAGGTATTGAATATTCCTTTTATCTGTGTTACTATTTATTCATACTCTTTAACTCCAGGATTTGTTTTTATCTTCCAACTAAATTGAAACAAATTCTGCAATTCTACAAATTAACTTGCTTGATTCTTAAAACTCTTATAGTTGTTCAGACGTATGCCTCTATTTTATTTCTTTGATTTCCTGATACCATAAGCTTTCCAGTTAATAAGTAATGTATTTTGTAATAATGCCTGTTTAAATGTGTTGTTACTTTCTTTTTTTTCCTTGTAGTGGGAATCGAACTTGGGTTCTTGTGCTTACAAGGCAGGCAGTGTTACTGCTGAGCTAAACCCCCGGCCCTGTTGTTACTTTCTCATTATTGTTCCTTATGTAAGTAGATCTGGGTTAGACCTGGTTCATATTTTTTTAGAGGAGAAATTTTTTTCATGTTAGAGTATGAGGAAATTCTGGCATGCTTTTGAAATAGTGATTGTTAAACAGCATCAATAGCAACTGTCCAAAGAAAACAACTCCCAAAAGTCCTATACATTCAAAACAGCAATATGATGTAAAAAATTTCAAATTCCTTAATGGCAGATCTTTTTCATTCTCATAAGACTTTAAAAATCTGATATTTGGATTAATTCCTAGGCACATGTATTAGTTTTTTTCCATCAATTGCTAAATCATCATTTATTAAACGTCTGCTCTATATAAAGCATAAGTAGTACTGAGTATTTAAAGTGATAAAAACATAGTTTAAGCAACTCAGTGTTTCACTGAAGAGACAAAATATAATTTAAGTAATTTTGTAGAAGTCTCTTAACCATGGGAGTTAAGTATTTTAAAATCCATGTAATAGAAGTGATTGAAAACTTACACAAGTACGATTAATAAATTTGAGATAATACATAAACCTATGGAAGACTATATAAATGCATGTATATTTTGCATTTACTGTTACTAACTTTGTATTAATGAGTGTAGCACCACCTCTTGCTCTGTGAAAACTTTAGACTCTCCCCTGTTATTCTAATTTGAGTGAGTGCTTACACGTTTTGTTTTGCTTTGCTGATAGATAATGTACAGTTAGGAGGCATTTATTTCTTTTCTATTCTTACTATAAATGTCCACCACTTTTCTCACTTTACAATTTAAAGTTGTTAATTAGCTTCCCTTAAGTTCCATTAAGACCATAGGTATGTGACACTCATTATAATGACAGTATGTATATCCTTCCTCAGTACATATAGTTATATGATAGTGATTCTGCCCATAATAAATACTATACATGCCAAGCATACTTTTGACTTTCAGCTGTGTCTGCTGAGGGACGTAGCTGTTTGTTTCTAAGGTCTGCACTTCCTTTACCTGTCTGCCTGCCTCTCTCCTTTCCTCCCTTTCTCCCTCCCTCCCTCCTTCTCTTCCTCCCTCTCTTCTTTCTTTTTGCACCCCCTTTCTCCTTTCCTAAGATGAACCCAGGGCTTCATGCATGCTAAATATGTGTTCTTACTTTATAAGAACTATTCTTGATCATTTGTTTTTCTTTTTTGAAGTTCAGTCTGTACTTTTCTTATTATCCTCAGTAAGAGTAACTTGCATTTCTCATAAACACTTATATCCCCTTATCCTTGGAGTAGGGTCGATACATTCTAAGACCCTCAGTAAATGCCTGAAACTATAGATGGGACCAAACGCTATATATACTGTATGTATACTATATTTTTCCCTATACATGCATGCCTGTGATAAGTTTAATTTATAAATAAGGTTCTATAAGAGATTAACAATAATGAGGACAGTTACGATGATGTGTTATACCACAAAAAATTTTTTTTTTTTGGTACCAGGAATTGAACTCTGGTTCTTGTGCTTGCAAGGCAGGCAG